GACCTTGGTCATAGTCCACAAGGAGGTGCTGCTGACTCAGTGGGAGGAGCGCATCAACACCTTTGCCCCAAGGGCGAGAATTGGCCGGATTCAGGGGTCTACAGTCATCACGGATGGCTGCCATTTCGTCATAGGAATGTTGCAGTCGCTGAGTATGAGAGGCTATAATAGAGCAATTCTTGACGAGTTTGATCTGGTGGTTGTCGACGAGTGTCACCATGTTGCCGCCAAGGTCTTCAGCAGAGCTTTGCGCTGCCTGTGCACTCCCTACCGCCTCGGTCTCAGTGCTTATGTTGACAGAAAGGACGGCCTGACGGACGTTATCAAGTGGCACTTGGGAGACGTCTGCTTCCTGGTCGAGCGGAAGGGCGACTCCGGCCTGACCGTTGAGACCATCCGTTACGAGCAGCCTGCTTACAAGGAGCCCGCCCCATTATTCAGGAATGGGCAGCTCGCGCTCTGTAAGATGATCGACGTGCTCTGCAATGACCCGCGCCGGAACAAGCTGATTGTCAACATGGTGCGCGAGCTCGCGCAGAGTGGGCGGTGCATATTGGTCCTGTCCGACCGGAGGGACCACTGCAGTGCGTTGCAGAAGGCGTTGGTAGAAAAGGGCCTCGCCGCAGGGCTCTTCTTGGGCGGTACGCGTAGGGAGAGCCTAGACGCCGTTGCAGAGAGCTCACAGGTCATAATAGGGACATATGCAATAGCTTCAGAGGGCTTAGACATTCCCCGCTTAAACACACTCGTCATGGCGACGCCCAAGAGCGATATCCGCCAGACCGTTGGGCGCATCACAAGGGGAAGCAGTTCAGCAAGCAACCCCTTGGTCATAGACATCTGCGACAAGTGGGGCCCTCTGATTGCTCAGGCAAGGAAGAGAGACGCCTTCTATCGGTCGTCCGGTTTCGCAAGAAACGTGCAGAGTGATCGCGGTGTGTGATAGAGGGTGCGGAGGGCGGCCGCGCGCGGGGTTTTGTACCGGGGTTTTCCGGACGTCGGACGCTCAGGGACATCGTTGTCGCAATCCGCGTCAGAAGGGCTAACAATGATTGAGCTGAAAAATGACAGGACAAGATGGAGCAGAGTGCATGAACAGATGGCCTCATGGTGAACAAACTGAGCAGGGCTCCATTGTACGACAAGAGGGCAGTTTTAGGTGGCCTCATGGCACAAGGGATCGAAGAAAAAAGGGTAAGGGGGGAAGAACTGCCAATCTTTAGAGCGCGATGGCGGTCCAGGGTTTCAAAAGTGACAAAGCAAGCCAACGGAAGGAAAGCACTGCAGTGCAGAATGTATGCAAGTTTCTTCAGGATGTCAGATTGAAATCAGAAGAGGAAGAAGAAGTTGCAAGGCGTGGCCTGGATAACATGCTTTTCTGCTGTCAGCGTCCAGAACAGATAAAGCAAAAAGATTACGAGGCGGTATCCTTGTACATGGAAGGGCAGCAGAGGCAGGCAATGGGCGCGTTTCGGGAGGCGCAGTATTACTTCGACTCTGCTCTTGAGAAGATTTGCGAGTGCTATTCGATGATGGAGCAAAGGCATCGGCTTTAGCGAGGTGCAAAATGGTGTTGACTCAGCACAGGCATGCAGTGACAGAGATTATAAGTAGGAGAGTCAATCTGCCACAGACACCGTAAATAAGGATGGTTGTACCAAGTTTAGTACAGAGTAAGATAAGCTCGCAAACGCCCGCAGTCAAACCTTATGCTTATTACAATTGTCTTTGCTGGACTGGCCGCTTGTTTTTATCAACTGTGTTTTGTCGTTGGCCCCTGCTTTACTTGCTTCTTTGCCTTGCACTTGGACCCAATTGCTGCTGCGACCCCGGCCGCCCCCCTGCAATGGGAGACA